ATGCTGGTGAAAGCCACAGCCTGTTTCTGCCAAAAGGCAGATGTTTAGGGAGCAGTGGTGTCACCCTCTCTTAAGGTGTCACCTGGTGAGGCTTGCACCCTCCTAATGCCAATCTTGGGCTCAGGCAAAAAAAGCACACTGCTGCATCCTCTTCTTGCTTATCTGCTCTTTTTCATTAATAATTGTTGCTATCTTCACCATTCTTTGATGTTGCTTTGCCATATGTGGTCCAGTTTTCTGCTATGAAACATTTGAGGGTATGGGATCAAGGGTACAGAAATTTCCAGTACCTATTTTCCATCATGGTACAGTTCCAGGAGGCCTGGATCATGTGGACTTTCTGACTAAGCAGAAAGTGGTTCTGTGGTTGTATTGTTGCAAACATTTCAAACCAACCCTTTGAGACCTTAAAATGCTAGCAGATTTATTACGTGAGCCTTTGTAGGTTGCATACAATTTATTTCAACCCTACTAAAGAGCAGTGTAGTGGGGTTTGAGCATTGGACTACAAATCTGGAGACCAGGGTTTGAATCCCTGCTTGGAGGTAGACACCCACTGGGTGACTTTGGGCAAGTTATATTCTGTTAGCCTCAGAGGAAGGCAATGGCAAACCTGCTCTGAACATCAACACCAAAAAAGTCCTTCCTCCATGCCAACTGCCACTAGCCTTGGCTCTGAGGGAGAGAAGATGAGACAGTTTCTGCTGGAAAATCCTCATTCCTCATTGCCATTCCCTTGTTCTTGTGTGTTTTCTTTAGATTGTCTTATTCAGATTGTGAGCTTGAGGGGCAAGGAATTATCAAATTAATAATTTGTGAGCCATTCCAAGAGCCTTTGTGGCTGAAGAATGGGGTATAAATATTCTAAATAAATAAAATAAATGCTTGTCAAAGAAAATGCCATGATAGGCTCGCCTTAGGGTTGCCATAAATCAGAAATGACTTGAAGGCACACAACAACAACAGTAGCAGCAGCAGCAGCAGCAACAACAACAACAACAACAACAAGTTAACCTGATTTTCTTTGTGGCAAAAGAACACCAGAAAGGGGAAGCACCACAGAGTTACAGTTGGAAGCATCCACTTCTCAAATTGGTCAAAATGAATGGGCACCATTTCTAAAGCATGTGTCTACCTAGATCCTTGGTGTCTGGCTTGTTTTGTTTTTGTTCCTCTCAAATATCAGTGAAGGAAATACTTTATAGCTGACATATTTTCTGGCATATTGGAAATGGATCCTGATTTCAAAGCTCAGCAGGACAAGCATCAGCCAGGCAGGCAAGTGCCAAGGGACGAGGCTTCCTCTGATTAAAAAGACTGCCTACGTAGCTAAAATCTTGACTGGCGCAGTGACCTGGACTGGGAGAAAGAGAAGCAAAGAGGCAAGAAGAAGGGGGGAGGGAGGAAAAAATGTCATTTCAGTGAACTTGACAGATAAAGGAGAGGGCCACTTTGTTCCAAAAAGAAAAAAAACACAGACCCTGCCGCCAAGAGAAAAAGAGCCCCCCAACTTTATTGCTCAAAGTTCTCACCTTTGCCCGACAGTCTGAGGTTTCTGGTGGGAATACCAGAAAAAGAAGCAAAATGTGTTTCCTATTAAGACGTTTAAATGAAAAAGGGAGGGGAAGCAATGAGACGTTTGGGTTTGTGTATTGTGGTGGTGGTGTGGAGAACAGAGATGGCAAAGCTTAACAAGGCATTGAGACAGACAGAAAAACAGAACCTATGAGTCTTTCTGAGTAGATTTTAAAATGGGAAGGAACAATGTTCAGATGCAAGTGTGTCTACTGATAAACTACCTGCCAACCAAACTGCCCTCTTTGCTCCTAATTTCAGATAGATGGAGGTTTGTTGGCATTAGTCAGAG